CTATTAATCTTCAAGCTGGCCTAGCCCAGCCCAACCCAACCCAACCTAGCCCAACCAAACTTGTTAACTCTCCTTAATAGTTGGGTCTCAACTTGACACATGGTCTCATGTCATTAGTTTTATTTTTAGGTATAAACAATTTATTACCCCTTTCATCCGATAATAATATTATATGTTTTTTATTTTATATTTAGATTAAGAATTTATAGACAATTTACATTTTTACTTATAAAAGATATTTTTTATATGTAAAAGAATATAAAATTAAAATGAATAAATAATAAAATTAAACAAGAAATAAAATTTTTGTTAATGGAAAAAAGACTATTACTCTATAACAAATTTTAAACCAAAAAATGTCTCCCACAATGAGGAATTCGTGAATGGTATAACAATCAAAATAAAAAATGATGATCCTTTTGAGGTGTCTTTATACCAAAATACACCCTCAGCATTAACGCCATCATCTTTTCTTTCTTTTGTAGTTTCAAAAATGCCAATCCTTTGCCGTCAATGTGGTGGAAGACTCATGGATTCTTGTGGTGACATTCCCAGTTGTAACAAAAAGATGCACCCTAACATGAAGCACGAATGCAATGAGTGTTTCAATGTCTTTAGTTCTCTTAAGGAGCTGGAGAATCATTAGAATGAAGAGTAAGGCTCAAATTTGTGTTTTATCTAAAATTTTTCTTAGATCCAATTTTTGAATTTTGAGTTAAATTAGTTAGGGTTTGGATGACAAGATTTCAATCTACTTGCTTAGAGAATGGGAAGTTAGTAATTGGGTTAGGGTTTGGGATGTTGATCTAATTTATTTAATATCATTGGGGTTTGGGGGTCTAATATCAAATTGATTACCAACTTATTCTTTTTGTTTTACTATTGTAACAAGATTATTGAACGGTGCACTTGCAGACATTGTGGTAGGCAGAATATTTCTAGTTACTATAGCATGGCCCAATCACAACAAAGACAAGCATAGGAGGAAGAGCAAGTTTTCTTGCAAATACTATTATAATGCATTTCTAATTGATGAGGATGCTGATCAGCACTATGGTCTTTATGAAAGCAAGAAAGGTGAGGTTTGAGTTTTTATTCACAAAGACCATAGCGTTGATCAATGTCCTTCTTAGTTGGAAACACATTGTAATAGTATTTGCAAGAAAACTTGATCTTGATCCTATACTTGTCTTTGTTGTGACTGGCCATTTTCTAGTAACTAAAAATATTTTGCTTACCACAATGTGTGTAAGTGCACTGTTAAGTAATCCTATTACAATAGCCAAGCAAAAAGACTAAGTTGGCAATCAATTTGATATTAGACAAATCAAAACACAATCCCAAACCCTAATGATGGGAGGGGCATGTTAAGGAACCTGTTTTCACACATGGGGAGTTAGTAACAAGATGAGCTCGAGGTAGCCTAACATCATTGGCTCCACCTAGGCCCTTCGAGATTTCTCTGTGTTTGTTGTTCTTTGAATGTGAAAATGCAGTGTGGATATTCTTCTTGTACGCAAGATGAAATTTTAGTGATCTTAAGCTGACAATTTCAAAGATTTGCCATTTGAGTTTCTAACCTTAAAAAACAATACTTTTATTTTGTATTTCTACTAATTTATTCTCTTTTCCTAAGACCAATTCTCTATCTTTGATTTTTTATCCAATGTTGGTGATTTGCTTAAGGCAATAGCTAGCGATTAGATAGGCATTGGGTAACGATTCAATTTTCTTTCCAAAAAATAGAAATTGTAGATAACTTAATGTGTGCCCACTTGAGAACTATCTTGATAGGCAAATCAAATGTCAAATGTTGAACATTTTTAATGTATTTGAAAGTGTATAAGCGAGGTCAGAATTCTACATCTTAGGGTGATACATGGTAGCCATATTTTCTCCAATTTAATTTTATAGATTGTTGCCTTTTGAACTTAATCTTGATTTATAGGAAGATATCAACCTTACACATGAGATAGGGTTTGATGCTTATACATTCTCTATCGTGGTCTCAAATTTTTCATGGTATACCCTTACATTCTACCTCAAATGTTTTGTTCTAGAATGGAACTTCTTTTAGATTTTTTTTTTTTTTGGTAAAGAGAATTCTTCATCTTTAGGAACCTTGGGCTTTCTTTAGAAAAGAGAAGTAGTTAAGAGAATGCATATTCTTTTGATTTGAAGCAATTATAGCAATAGTAGTAGAGCATGGTCCAAACTTTGTAGGCAACCTCATTATGGCTGAGTATGCTCTCAACATCCTCAAAACCCTTATCACCACAATGTCCATAGAAGTGAGGATCTAGGAGGCTATTGATATAAAAATAACACATCAAAATTAAAATAATTTTAAACACAAAGAAAAAGGTGAACTACAAGGATAAATTAATTATTAGAAAACCTCTATGATACAATGCCCATGTGGAATACTAACATGGTAGTGGGTACTAAACTCTTTATGTACACTTTTTGAAGGTTAGCTTAGCTCCAATAATGCATCATCCTAAGGCTATAATGAATTATAGCATATTCTTTGACAACATTATTAGGACAATAATACTCTATGTCTGGAAAGGTGTGCAGAGGAGGAACAACAATTTGAATCTTAGCGAAAGGATTGAAGAGACACAATGCTGCACTCATTTCCATAATTATTAGCCAACCATAAGAAGATCCACAAATGCACTTGCCTCTAGTCTTTGGTAGCTCCTAGTGATGTACCTTGTCATCAAGAATTCTTCTTGTCATGTGGCGTATTAATATGCTTTGAATGATGAAACTTAGGCTCTGATATCATGTGAAAATTGTGCAGGTTGGCTTCAACATAAGGTTTGCATTTAACGTAAAACCAAATGGCAATAGATGAAGTAACCCTCCTTGT